TGGCAAAAGTTTAATAGGTTTAGGATTTTTTGGATAATTTTTCCATCACAAAGAAATGGTGCCATTCTTAGGTCATTGTATGTTTTTTTTTTGCACCTTTTAATAGAGAATTTATAATACTGCTCCATTGATATATTGAAATCAATTTACAAAAATTGTTCGATTGTTAACAGGATTGCACACGATAGTTCAAGCCCGATGCTTGACTTTTCGGGACCAGCTTTACAACGAGAACATCAACACAACGTCACTAAAAGCAAACCGCCCGCGCTGTGGAGGTGACAAAAACCTCTCTCCTCTCGACGTCACAAGCCCGACGTCCTTAAACAATGCTTACTTAGTTGAGAATAATAAAGTGGAAGAGAGAATTGTGAAATTTTCTATGTATTTCAATAATATATATTAATGAAGAATACATTGGCCTATTTATAAGTTTCATTATATGACTACTCTAATATAATATCTCAATCAAGATATATACAATTAAAAGGAGATATACGTGCAATACACTTGCAACATACTTATAATCTTGTGAAATACAGATAATCAATAGAATTATCAAATATCTATGATATAGGAAATTATCCAAAATCTCTAATTATCTCTAACACAAGAACTTGCATATCCAAAAGGGTCTTCTTCACTCAGAGCATCAATTGTTCAGTAATGGTTCCACGGACACTCGAGTGAATGCTTACAACAGTAACTCGACAACTTTCATGACAGATTTTGCTAATGCCATGGTGAAGATGGGTAATCTCAGCCCGCTCACCGGTTCAAGTGGTCAGATTAGGAAGAACTGCGGGAAAGTCAATTGATGTTCGTTCTAGGTTTTACTTTGCATTTCTTATGTTTTCGAGTTTATTTCGATAATACAAGGTTCACCTTATTGTCTATCTTAGATGGTTGATCCCCTTTTAATATCTATCTAAACGTGCATAAAAGTGGTGCTCATGTGGTTGTGGCACGTGGCGTGATTGCAAATTCATTATTTGCCATTTCAATTTATTTAACTTATGTTAGAATTAAATCCAACCAAGCTTTTTACAACTAGGGATTCACGTAAAGCAAATTATAATAGTAAGAATTTGACAATTCCTTTCCCTTCCGGTGTTTTTTTTGCCGTGGGTCTCGTTAGGCCAATGTCGTACCTAACTTTCAACATTATTACACTCCAATAGTGTTTCTCCAAACAACAGCAAAGAAGGAACATATGAAGACTTTGGGGTAAAATCTCATACAGAGTCATTGAAGACTAAATTTAGTGGATTTTGCAACCAAGCAATTAAATTTAATCTTAATTACTCAATTTACTAAAATTTGATTTCTTTGCAATCGATACAATTATTTCCAGCGTAATTCTCAACAAATCTTAGCTACAATAATTCTAGAAAATAACAAGTCTAACTTAGAAAGTAGACCGTATTCCAATGAAATACGTATAAATATTTGGCGACACAGGCTGTATAACCAAAAACCTACTTATTTCACTTGCCGATATGTGTGGTTTTACTTCAAGCAAGTAATCAACTGATTATCTGTGGAGGTCGATGTAAAATATGTAAATAAAAGCAACATAGTCTTTGTAGTTAAGAATAATCCTTAAAGCTTGGCCGTACCTTTCTACACCTTAAAACTTCAAAAGAATTTTTCCTTTACTATTCTCACTTTCCGATCCTTGAATTGAAAGGCAAGATTTCATCTTTCTTTAGAGTTACAAGGTGGTTAGAGCTTTTGATTGTTTAAGTTTTATTCAGGATAAGTGAAAACTCTAGGAGCTAAGTTAGATTGATATACTTTTGATTTGGTTGGTTGATGTATGTAAATTTTAGTTTTAGTTAACTTTAGTGATAAGTGTGAGCATGTTTAATAGCAGTGTGTTGAGATGTTGTGATGATTTGATTTGCATTGATAAGTTCTTACATGTCACGATGTGTTTAATGGATTTTCTTGAGTTGTGGTAACATGTATGTGAAAATGATGAAATCGGGCTTGAAAGTGTTATCTTCGTAATATTGACTCTTACCAGGTACACTCACACGCTGATCATATTTATGTTATGTACACCACCAGCTGATCATATTCACGCTATGTACACCAGTACCTACTGTTCATATTCACATTATGTACATTAGCCGCTGCTTTTATTCACCTTATTATCAACCCTTGCTGCTTATTTCCGGTTCTTGAGTATGTTGTTTCGCACTTGATGGTTTGACTAATGCATTTCATTGCGTTGATGAATGTGTGATGAAATAAGAAGGAGGAGATATGTATTGAAATACATGTAATTATTTATTTATCATTGCTTGCATGAGAACAATATGTTTCCGTCACCCATATATTAATGGTGACGATGCCCCGTGTGTCGGGATGCCCTGGGAGTATTCAAGATGCCGTGGGAGTCGAGATGCCATGTGAATATTTGGGAGGAGAAGTAAAGAATCTAGTGCATGTGTATATGTATATGTAAATGCATATACGCACTCATGTCAATGAATAAACTAATTGGAGGTCAGCTTGCATCTGAAAATGTTATGTCATCCGCATCCGCATGCATATGAGTGAAATAATGTTGTTATTTGAATACTTTGGCATATAATAATAGGAAATGTAAAACATTTATTCATGCACTTGGCATATATGCTTGCATGTTATGTATTTATGTTGTTTCGTACCAGGTTGAGTGGTAAGATGATCATCTAACTTAAATCGAGAGATTTTATTTACTGGATTTTGGCTTACTTCTTTATTTTTCAGATATATAGGATAGATCGCTCACAGCCAATGCTTTTTGGAGTCCCATGCATTACGAGCGTGTTTATGAAAGTATGCTTATACCCAAATCGGAGACAGTACATACTAAGAGTAGTTCCATCATATGGGTTGATGTGGGTTTTATATAGTGGGTTCCCCAACGATTTGTCACTTGGTACTTGAACATCGACGGTGAGTTGGTTGGCCCGTTGAGGGGTTTCAACGGTGACGCGACACATCGATGGGCAAGGTGGTCGACCCATACCGTCGGTCTTAACTTTTTGTACACATAGGTTTTGGACATAGGAGTAGTGTTGGAGATAGATGACCCAAAACCCCCCTCCTAGGAATTTTGTATTTTTCATTGACGATATATGAAAGTGATAATACTTATATTTAATATAAAGAAGATGCATATGTACCTTAATTAATTGAGACGGGTTATATTGTATTGAATGTTAGGAATGGTTATTGCTTCCGCATGTTTATAGAAAAAATATGATTAATAATTGAAAAAGATAAGTATCACGGGTAACGTTTTGAGGCATCATATATCCTACTAAAAAAGCTTCCAAAACTATGGTTGAATCCCTAAAACGGACATGAACACATGCGCACTTATGAAATTAAGGTAGTGATTTCAAGTAAAAAGTATCAAGCGTTTAGAAAGGGAAAAAAAACAGGCATTAGCTTTATGAACTTTTCCTAAATCTCTGGATTCACATAGTCACTTTCCTTTTGATGTTGCCTCGTACAAGCTATATATATATATATAATCAGCCCCCGGGATCAGATCACATCTTGACATTGCATTGTCTTCTCCACATTACCCTACGCTTTCTTATATATCTTTCATCCGACGCTCACTTTGCGAAGATGGCCAAGCTTTCGTTCGTGCAATTCTTCATTGCGGCCCTCGTTCCTTCAGGTTTTTTTTTCACACATGAGCTTTTCTGTGGCGATCTTGCTTTGCATGACGTGAAGTGACCGGTAAACTTGCTTTGTTTCTACCGTTTCTTTGCCGATGGAAAAATGCAGCCATGTACGTGTGGCCCCGTGCAGAAGCAAAGGGGCTGTGCCACGACTCTCTGGATTTCCCGCAGTGTACCAACGAGGCTTGTGTGGCGAAATGTACGAGCACCTATGGCGGCTTCGTCTTCTACGAAGCGTTCTGCAAGCCCGAGCACATCAGCGGCTATATATTCTGCGAATGCTACTACTATTGTTAAGTGTTTGAGCACGCGCATCACGATCTTACTTTCGAGCTGATTCGTTGGCAAGATGCCCCGATGATAAAAGGCGAATCGAATGTCTCGCCACTTGAATTCTTGAGTTTCGATCAAGTAATATATGGTCTCCGGTCCATGTTCCTGTCTCTTGATTTCACATTCAATATCTCTATGATTACCTCGTGAAGACGGATGACTGCGATTAGGGATTTTTGTCATTCCTAGAGAAAATAATTAACCATGATAAGGCACATCTATTGAAGGTAAAATTGATTAATAGCACTAACAGCCCTTATCTAGTTAATGACAAGGATAATGAGACAAACAGTCCCTGAATTTTACCTCTTTTAATTTGTTTAATGTAGTCCCTGAACTTTTAGCCCAATATTCAATGTGGTCCATGAACTTTTAATTTGTTCAATGTGGTCCAATGACTTTTGGTACATATTCAATGTAATCCCTGAACTTGAATTAATGAAAGGACTACATTGAACATTTTCATATAGTTGAGGGACTAAATTGAACATGTACCAAAAGTTCATCAAATTAAAAGTTCAGGGATCACATTGCACATTGAGTTTAAGTTCAGGGACTACATTGAACAAATTAAAAATTTAGAAATCACATTACACATAGAGTCAAAGTTTATGATTTGTTTTCATCGTTTTCCCAAGAAAATATAAGGTAAGAAAGAAAGAGAAAAAGACAAGGTGGTTTAAAAAGTAGGGAAAATGACACAAACAGTCTCTAAACTTTGGCCCAATGTGCAATTTGATCCATGAACTTTTAATTTGTTCAATATAGTCTCTAAAATTTAATCCAATGTGCACTGTGGTCCCTAAATTTTTAATTTGTTCAATGTCATCCCTGAACTTTTGGTACATGTTCAATTCAATCCCTGAATTATATGAAAATATTCAGCATAGATTAAATTTTAAGGATTATATTAAATAAATTAAAAGTTCTGAGATTAAATTACACAATTTACCAAAGTTCAAGACTCTTTTTGTTATTTTACCTAAAAGTAAGCGGCGCAGGTTGGCGCAGGTTGTCCAACCGCTGCCAACAAACGTAGAACTTTCTTGTTCTTTCCAACGTCTCGAAAACAATTCGCATCTTTTCTCATTTCTTGTTTCGGTTTGCGTTGGATTCTTGGCGTTCGAGCCTAAGAATCGATCCTTCGCTTGACCCAGATTGCGTTGTTCCCTTCTTCTTCTTCTTCGCTCCTGAATTACCCCCTCGGATCCTCGCACCTGGTTCGCCCCCTTGAATTTTCTTGATCTTGGGCCCCCCCGTTCAAGGCGCGTGCGAGCTTTTTCCTTGGGAAAAGCTCGCCGGAACCCTGGAAAAGCTCGCCGGAACCCTTGATCCATGGGGGATCCCCCGGTTCCCAAGCTCCGTCTCGTCGTCGCCTTCGCGATCGTCGCCGCCCTCCTCTCCTTCCCCTCCGCCGTCAGGTCGGAGGAGCCGCGGGGGGTCTCCGGTTCGGTCATCAGGTTGCCCACCGAGGAGGGCGATGGCGGAGGCCCCTGCTCCGGGGCGGCCCGACCCGGCTCGTGCCCGGTCAAGTGCTTCCGTGCCGACCCGGTCTGCGGCGTGGACGGGGTGACCTACTGGTGCGGCTGCGCCGACGCCGCGTGCGCCGGCGTGGGAGTCGCGAAATTGGGCTACTGCGAGGTCGGGAACGGCGGGTCGGGTCCGTTGTCGGGTCAGGCGCTGCTCTTGGTCCACATTGTTTGGTTGATTGTGCTAGGGTTCTCGGTTCTTTTCGGGCTTTTCTGAACATAATGTGAGAGGCCAATTGAATTTTGGCGTTTTTTATTTTCTCTCTTTCTGGGGTTGCTTTTGGTGTATGCAAGAGTTGGATGATTCCATGGGAGTTAATTCTTTTGGTCTAATTAATTAATCATTGATGATATATCGATTCATTTCTGTGTGATCTTGTGAAATGCCTGTAGAGTTCTTGGTTGTGCATAAGTTTGGTCTTGGAGCTCGACGTTTCGTGATTGATCTGTTGCAAATTGCTGAATTCTTATAACGAGATTGGTTTTCGTTCCCTTTTTAATTGTTAGAAAGAAATTCGATGAAATTCTGCTGGAAATCCTTAATTAGCACTATCGGATTGGGACAAATTGATCGCTGTGCTCTAGTTTCTTATAAGCCTTTTCAATTGTCAAATTCTGGACATACGCGAGGAGTGAGAGGCATAGATTCCGAAGTGTATGTCGGTTTTCCATGATGTCTGTCCTCGTTTGCAATGAAGCTTGAAGTATTTGTTTTGACCGCCTCTTATCTGCTCGTTGATCGGGTTGTAAAGGAGTTTCACTGTGTTCTTGTGCTGTCAAACTTTGATGGAGAAACTAATGCATATGTTAGTGTTACTCCTACTTGGTGTGATGATGTGGTTTTTTATTGGAAATTGCTTTTGGTAGCTATATAATTACTGCCTTACTGGGGAAAAAGTTTAGCGAAATCTGTACTAGGTACAGGAGCAGGTTTTTCTTAGACTTTGAGACAAACATGAAAGAGTAGCAGAGGATACAAGGAGGAGCTACATCATCTGTACTATTCTTCTGTGAGCTTTAACCGAAGGCGGCATATGAGCACAAAAACTGTGTCTGTAACTTTTATGTACGGTAATGGAAGGTATTGTTAATTGTGGAGTACGTACAAATAACAAGTGAGAAAAGCATAGGCGTTGCCTTCTAGATCAGGGTACAACTTCACATGCTGAAAGAATGGAGTAAATTTTTGTCTCTCTCCCCTCCTGAACACCATGCATGCTGACCGTCTTAGAATGTTCTTACTTGCACTCCTCTTTTGCCTCCATCGAGCGGCAGAACAATTAGAGGCACGAGCTGAGTGGTTAATGGACACCTATATTATCCTTAGCTGCCGAAAATTTGTGTCTCCTAAATTTTTAATAGTATCGTGTGATAATTTGTTCCCCTGGTTTTAGTATCTATAGTAAACTCCTTAGTTATGGCCACTTGTAGTCACATAGTACATGTGCAAGGTAAGCTGCGAATTGGCTGCTACAAGTTGAAGTATTAATGGGCATGTACAGCACATTGCAGGAGCCTTAAATCAGTGTCCGGTTAAGTCGATAGAAGTTGGAAGCATGTATTTGCTTTTTCCTAGCTGAAACTGCTTTGCTTTTTCTACAACCTCTACATCAATGTTCGAGCAGATTTAGCTTTAAATATTGTACAGAGAAGTCATGCAACTTTGCTATTTTCACTTTTGGATGGAATGCATAGACCAAGTTACAGGCTGATGATCATCAGAATTCTGTCAACAATGTAATCTCTTGTTTGCCTAGTCACATCGTCAGAATCATGGCGAAAGTCCATTATAAGGATCAACAAAATGACAGCCACGGTCAAGGAATGTCTTCTCTAAATTGTGAATTGCACCAGTTTATAAGAAGCATTCTTACCACTAGTATTGGGTATGACATGTGAGTCTCGCTATCATGTTTCCACCTTGTGTATCCTTTAGAAAACGCATATATCAGTGCTGACTTTGGTGCTGCGCTATGGATAGTCGTTGCTTTTGTTTGTAATATCTTGCTTCTCTCGGCATTTTCTGATGACCTGTGGAAGCATAAAACGAATGCTCATGTGGTTTATCATCTTTTTAATTCCCCTTTGAGAGTTGAGGAGGCCTCACAAGTTTTCATTGACTATGGACATTTAGTACAAACATTACTTCAGCCGTAAACTTAAGGCATGAAATTTCGTTGGACATTTGATCTCTTTATGTTACCTCGGGTCTCTTTCAAGCGATCATGAAAACAAATGAAGTGATGCAGACAGTCCAACTTAGAAGCACAGTTCGCTAGGGCGGAGTCTGAAATTCCAGAAGAAAATTTTCATTCGCTCAACATTAACTATCAGTGATCCAGTCTATCATCATCATAACGCCGGTTATACCAAAGACCTAAGATAACAATTCAGGAAGTCCATATCTTGCAGTCTGTGGATGGAGTACACCAAATCTAGCAGCTACCGTTTGGCCAGCTACTCACTGGAAAGGTGCACAAGAATAGCTGGCGCAGAGACCTGTAGCACTGCTATAAGGGAACAAAGCGACAGGTCGATTCGGCGGTAGCTCAGGAATTGGTCCATCTGTGACCAGGAATTCGACCACCTCCTCCATACTAGGCCTTCCTTTACTCTCGTTCAGGGTACAAAGCAAACCTATCTCCAAAACTCGAATTGCTTGTTCAAGGCTGACCAGCGAGCCCATCCTCCTATCAAACACCTTCACCTTCTCGTTTCTCTCATGCATTCTCCATGCGAAATCCAGCAAATCCTTTTCTTCTTTTTCCATCTCCGGGTCGCTCCTGCTCCTACCTGCAATGACCTCCAGAGCAAATACCCCGAACTCAAAGACATCGGCCGCTTGACTCACCGCTGACTCGAACTTTCTTGATCCCGAACCGGAGAGCACAAATCCAAAATCCCCTAATACAGCACGGAATGTGACGTCAAGAAGGACACTGGTCGTCTTCATGTTCTTGTGTGCAAGTTTCCTTGAATGCAAAAAACTCAAAGCTTCCGCCACATCCTTGACGACCTTGAACCGCCTTGTCCACGGCAAGACACCGACTCCGAATAACCATTTATCAAGACCTCCATTCGGGAAGAAATCGTAGATAACCATGAGTTCCCCTTTGTCCTGACACCACCCTCTTATGGGAACCAAATTGGGGTGACGAATACGACTGATGGCGCAAATTTCTTTCAAAATTCTTCGCCCATCTAATCCATTTGAGTTCAGAAAATGAGCTGAGAACCGTTTCACGGCTACTTGGCAGCTATTCGGTAGCTTTCCCCTGTAGAAAGTACCTCTGTAGTCACTTCCTAGTACCTCATACTCGCCGAAACCCCGTGTTGCACAGGATACCTCATTGACCGTGAAGCTCCGGGGCTTGTTAGGAGGCCTTGGTCGTTGTATTTTCTCCGGCAAGCTGGTGGTGCTCGGTTTATCTCTTCTGCGCTTGCCATTATAGTACAAGCTGACTAGAACTGCGAGAGCCAGCACCACGACGGCTGCAAAAATCAAGAAATTGCTAATTGGTTCTGATCTAGCTTCTCCAGGAGTCTCAGTAATTCCCAGAATAATCTTGCTCTCACAGGTCTCTTCTGATGGGATCCGGAGAAAAGCTTGGCTTGTCGATGTGAAGTTCCATGAGAGAACGTTATGGATTTGGGTCAAGTTCCCTGTGGAAGCCGAGAACCCCACAAACATATACTCCTTCAGATGAGGAGAGAGATCTAGGAATCCAGAAAATGCAGGAGTTGAGGGGAATTCTTGCCCCTCTGATCCGAGATGGATTTCTATCCATCTTTTTGGACCGTCATATCTAATTCGAGCTCGGTGAATGGACCCGTCCTTGAGAGAAACCCCGATATCAGACAAGTTGATTGTCCTTGTGGACACAATGCTACCCAAGTTGATGCCAACATGGTTGTCGTTCGGGTCTCCAAATTCAGGATTGTGGCGCGTATCGAATTCCACGGCTACAGCTTTGTACTCCTCATCGCATGCATCATTAAGCATCCCTAGCCACGGCCCTGATCTTCCCACAGTGAACTCATCTGGTACTATGATAAAAGTTAAGCCGCTGCCGCCATGGCTGCCCCTTGTACCTGCAGAGCCGGCATCATTCTTGGAAGGAACAACCGAGCTGTCGTTCTCGAATTGGAAATCGAAGGTGGTCTCGAAGGAAGCCGGGGTTCTGGTGGTGGGGTCGAGCAAGCGGACAGGAGAGGAGTAGATGGCTCGGCCGGCGAGATGCCGAAGATCAGCGGCTTCGGACACGTCGGGGATTTGGACCGCACTCTTTTCCTTGGACAGCTTCGCACTGCCCAAGAGCTTCACATCATGAACTATCCCGGGGTTGTCTAAGCTGAAATCGGGGAAAGAAAGGTGCTTCGTCACGTTGATCACGGGTCCCGAAAGCTTCTCCTTATTGGCTGAATCAACCCCGAGCGAGCTCTCTACCAAGAGCAGAAGCAGAAGAGGAAAACATGAGAAGGCCATGATAGCAAAAGATAGAGGAGAGCAGAGAGATCAGGTTTCGCTTTTGTGAAATCAAGCTAATGCATATCTTTTTGGTGCTCCTAGATTATGCTAAGAACATGGAGCGCTCATTACGCTGATGTGGGGATGTCGTGACAGTGTCTTGACCCGTCTGTTAATAGACTGACGATCGTGATTGAGGCCAGACTTGGACATATCTAAGCACGAGGTGACTCCACTTGCATGAGCAAAGGACAAACAAGGGGGACACACCTGAGTGGGAATCTTTCATTTTTGTGTGGCGTTCCAGTAGCGGATAGCGACGGAATGATTTCCAGTATCATGCGCTCGTTATCAACTTTTGTTTGTGGGGCATGTTTCAAGACGGTGTGTGGTGGATTGTAGTTCTTGAGCCGTCCCGCTTTGGAACACCTGTTTCGTCCTTCTGCGTAGAACACGACCCGACCGTCCGTTGCCCGATACGAGACGAAAGACTGGCGGGCCGTGTCGTGTCACCTAACGAGAATTTTCTGGTCCGCTTCTTTCCGTAACGTGAGCAGTACAGATCCAGATTCTTCTACACAGATGATTGCAGCAGGGTAGGTATGAAACTTAAAATCTATGTGCATCTCTGGGTAGGATTGATATGGCACCACCACTCGAAGTTGGAAAATTCGTGGAGAACTCAAATTGGTAGATCTGATGCGTGGGCAAGTTTGGTGGGTATCTGAAGAAATATCTACACAAGATGCGTGCCAACATTTTTCTTATAATGTAGTATTATCAAATGTCATACCAGGATGGCAAGGACACGACGAGGGCTTAAGCTTCTGGCATTTACCTTGAATGGACTCCACATCCTTAACAGACACCAACCGCGAGCTCTGGCAAATGAAACCTGTCGCGGACAATGCCCGCTTACATTTAAGGCGGGCATCACCATCCGAACAACCTCATCCGCAGGTTCATCAATACCCGAGAATTCGTTTTCATAGTCTTTCGAGGGAATTTTTGTTTGAAAGCAGAATCGCTCTATCAATTATTTTTAGAGGACATGTATGGTCTCGATGCCATGCCATCCTTGAGGGGGTTCATAGCCTCCCCGTTCTGTCTTCGTTTGCGGATTATCAACAAGATTCTGTATTTTGGCCCACGATTGTAGAGATGAAATTGGTAAGTTTCAAGAGACGGTAAATTTGCAAATGTGTTGGTAACTTTCGAAACACAGTAATCAATCACGAGTTTGTAGAATTATCTGTATTTCGGAATGATATCATTATTATCCGTACAGTAAAAAAACCGCAAAATTTTAGCCATGAGGAGTTAACCAGAGGGAATGCAAACGACTGTTTTCCCTTTTTGCTCAGCGATTTCCCCGTGTGCAAAGCTGCTTGGATAATAATCAGTAACGCAACGAACATATGCTGTCGTTTGACGCTTAATGTTGCGATAGAGACAGATTAGTTTCGTGATTTGCTGCCGCAGATCAGTAGACAAGATTTCCCACCAAAGCTCTGAAGAGAAGTATCCGCTAACAAGCGCCTCGAGTTCCTCCAAATCGTCCCGACCACCATCAGTAGTAGTTCGTTATAGTGAACGATGGCGGGGACGATTTGTAAGCCAATGGCCAAATTGTCTATTTTGGTGCCTGCACATGTTAGTCACTCTATGAACCCTAATTTAAGCATCATCGTGGGAATTCTTATTTTGTTAGTGGGTACTCATG